TTTCTTGACCGTTTCTGATAGGGGAATAATGTTCAACAATAAATTTCCAGCTGCAATACTGCTATTAGCTAGTATTTTTCACACACCCTTTAAAAAGGGTAGCCTGTTCATATTTTTATGTAGGACATTAAATTTATCCAATTGTTTACATTTTTAAAATTTATAATTTACAAAACATCACTATTCTTGTTTCATAATTTTATTTATTTATTTTTATGTAATAATCGTAAAAACTGATATTTAAAATTAAAAATCTTGTGCAGGAGTCAATTCTGACAAGGCGTTCCTGATCATTTTTGACAAACCGAGTGTGGATTGGGATCAATACAGAATTCCTTTTGTGTTATTTTTTTCTTTTCATCGAAGCTTGTCTTTTTGCTCTGAATATTCTTCAAAAAAGAGAGATTTTGGACTACGTTATCGGAAAGAAGCATTTCTTTAACACCAGTGGATTAGGATGGTACGACAATTAAACGTTTTGAGATTCCAAGATTTCAAGTTTATCAAGTGAGTTTAGCTTTGATTTGAAGCCTACATGTATTTGTTTTTATTAAATTGAACTAAAGCAAATCTAAATCTGCACATTCCTGCAGTTCTAAATACGAAGTTCTACGTGGAAACTACTTCTGATTATGAAACGAGGGGGCACGGAGAACTTGTGTTTTAGCAAGTTCCTCATTAGGTCCCAAGTTTAAAAAATTCTAGTTCAACCTGAGTCAAAAATGTCGTCGATTTTCTCGGGAACTCTGTATTCTTTTCTAACGTAATAACGATATTTTTGTTTAGACCAGTTAAGTAATTCATGTCAGTGATGTTCTTTTGATTCAAACTTATTCGACGAGTAACTCACTTTGCTCACGAAAACTAAGAAAAATGTGTGTATTCTAGATCTGTCACTCTATGTGAAGTGTTAGTGTCTGGTGAAGTATGTCAAAGGCTTAAGAAATAATTTTCTTAGACTTGATATATAATGTAGATGTGTTTTTCTTTGAGAGGGGGAAAGGGGTAGGTTTTCAGTTATCATATGTGATCCTCTTAGGAAGCAAATGGTGTTGAGGGGTGAAAACCTAGTTTTGGATTATAGTAGACTTTGACAAAATAATTTTTCTTGCTGTTTTTTTTTGTTATGTCAACCAACATGCATGTTGGCCAGTACATTTCTCGATCATAGGAAGGAATTTATTCTAACAATAGAGAGTGAGAGACTATAGTAATTGGACTAAAGTTTATTAGTTTTTTTGTCCAACTCCCCCACCCCCTGCCTTAAATTTAGCAATAAGCACCCACTACACTTTTAATGGTTGCTTTAGCATGCCACCAAAACACTTCATATAGTTTGCACTGTATAAATAAGACCCATATCTGACTTTTTTCTTCACTTGACTCTGAAGATGACTTCCACACAGGTTGTCGAAACGTCAGTCACATCAAACAGTCCTTCTAAGGACTACATCCACCCGGATGATCACAATATAAATATTATATTATCTCTTCGAGAAATATTGTTACTTCGAAAAATTATATATAACTATTGTTTGAACTTGTTTCAGGTAAAACAGACCAATAAATGAGTAAATTATATAAAGTATGTGGAGAAATGAATGATTTATGGATAAGGGTGCTCCAGATTGTAGAAAGCATGATCAGAACCTAAACAAAATACAAGGAGAGTGAGAACAGTTGATAGCAGAAAACCTTTATTGACCGTCAATGTTGAAGAATTTGGTTGTTGTGACAATTAAGAGACAGATACTGACAAATTGGAACAAGAAAACTTCAGCAACAAAAGAGATCAAGCTGGAGGTAGATGGGAGACGTTTATTTAAAATGAACTAGAAAGTGAGTTAATATCTATGACTATTTACTTAGATTGCTGTAATATGGATGCATGATACCCAAAGTGATGAGATGTTTGTGATGATGACAATTGTTGAAAGAATCAGAAAATAAGGAAATCCATAATTATGTCATTTCTGTTGCATTATGTAATCTTATATGTACACATATGACGTATGCATATATCCGGTTATCAAAGTAACCTTTGTTAGTCATTACTGAGTCTTGATTAAAAAAGCTCGTGTACTGCTATACACATGTGTGATTACTCCTGCTAGAAGTAACTAACCAACACGATATTGGAACAATTTCTTCCATGCTCTATCCTTCCCTTCCTCTCTCATTTGGGAAGCACAGGTGGTGTAGCAGTGAGATCCAATGCTCACCTCTCACCAATGCAACCAGGGTTCAAGTCCCACTGAAATCGGTGTTGTATGTGAGTCAAGTTGTTTGTTGGTTCTCTCTGCAGTGCTTCAAGGGTTTTCCAGGTTCTCCGRCTTTAATTCCTCTGCAAAAATCAACTCCTAAATTCCAATTGGAATTACAGTGGATGATAGCTACTCTGTAGAAATGCCACTGTTAAATCCCATTTATCATATTTTTATTTTATTTCATTTTATTTATCATTTCTTTTATACTTTTGTCATTATCTCCCTCCCTTTGCAAATATATATATATGACATACAACACTCAACTCACATGTTTCTTTTCTGGAGATAAAACCCTCGCTGCAAGGGAGAGATCACATCACATCAAAGAAAAACTCAACTCACATATGTCCCAGTCTGAGACATGGCTCAAATGCGTTGCAGTGGTGAGAGGCAAGTAGTAAACCACTATGCCACCCATACATGCCACCCAAAAGTCAAGTCCTGTCAGTTCAAAGGATTTATTTACAATTTATTGGTGATGAAGGGTTGAATGTATAAATTATACACAAAAACATATATTTCAATAATTTTAAGGCAAGCATCAGAACAGGAACCTTGGGCAACTAGATATATTTTTTAGGAAAACAAAATTTTATTTTATTTATCATTTCTTATATAATTTTGTATATATAATCTTGTAGTTATTTGGTCAAAAAGCAATTCTTGGTAAAATTGGTCTATGTTCTGGTGAACCATTTTTCAATGGACCCTTCTCAATATTAATTATCTTTGGTAATATRAAAATTATAGAAATTAGCCTTTCTTTTATGAATATTTTGGCATTTATTTTGTGATAGATGTGTTGATCATCACAGTGAATGAGTGATCTAAGCGAACGCTGTAAAGAAAGACTTGAAAAARTGATTTCAAGCTTCAACGGGAATCGAACACATGACCTCCGCAATGCTGGTGCGATGCTCTACCAACTGAGCTATGAAGCCAATCRTGTTGGCAAGCGGTCATTTTTGTTGGGTTCTTCATTGCAGAGGTCATGGGTTCGATTCCCGTTGAAGCTTGAAATCATTTTTTCAAGTCTTTCTTTACAGCGTTCGCTTAGATCACTCATTCACTGTGATGATCAACACATCTATCATTATTTCACCACAGTTCTGCTCATTCAATTCCACACTTATTACTTATGGGGGCTTGTAGAACCCAACAAAAATGACCGCTCGCCAACATGATTGGCTTCATAGCTCAGTTGGTAGAGCATCGCACCGGCATCGCGGAGGTCATGGGTTTGATTCCCGTTGMAGCTTGAAATCATTTTTTCAAGTCTTTCTTTACAGCATTTGCTTAGATCGCTCATTCACTGTGATGATCAACACATCTATCATTATTTCACCACAGTTCTGCCCATTCAATTCCACATTTATTTTGTACTGTATCATTCTAGTACTCATATTTATTCTATGCCTAAACTCAAACTTTTTTTCATTTTTGTCTTTTTTTCTATTCCCCAGCTATGAGCAATCAGGCAATACATGACTTAATTAATTGCACTGACAGGAAAAAACTTTGGAAATGAAAAGAACAGCTCAACATTAGTAATGGGGTGAAGTTTCAGCTCATAATGTTGAATTTAGCATAAATGGCATTAAATATAAAATGGAATATTTTATAAGGATTTGTATGGGAAAATGTGCTGGATGGACATTAGATTAGACATTAGAGATATTTGTTTTACAATAACTTACCAATTTCTTGCCTGCTGTTTGATTATTTTTATCATCTATGAGAGGACAGACAGATAAAGCTGATGTCAAGCTGTTAAGCAGAAAAATGGAATAACAGCTCCATTAATGGTACATTAATATAATATAATGAAAGCTAGAGTTAGGGTAGAAGGATGAGATATGCAAATCATAATTTTGTATGTCCTATTTTTAAGAGGCAACAGAAGGTAAAATAACTTTTTGTGTCTCTAATGCAAAATTATGGAATAGTCTGCCACTTGATTTCAGAAAACTTTCAAATGTTACATCTTTTAAGAATAGATATTTTATACTTTTATTAAACCAGCAACTCTCACTTAGTCATTGTTGACCATGATATTAGTATATTTATTTTGCAATTACTATAATATTAGTTATAATTATTTCTTTTGTTTTCCTTTATGTTTTGATGTTATATTTTGATAATGTATATTTATAGTTTTTATTCTAATCTTTTTATATGTATTTTACATTATATTGATAAAATGGGGAAAAAATCATTCACTTTTATTTTCTAGTGCTTTCGCACTAATTGGGGACACTTTTCACTCACACACACTTAACCACTACATTCAATATTCTATACACACAACGCAACATGTTGATTTTTATAGAGGGAGGAAACCGGAGAACCCCGGAGAAAACAATCGTAGCAAAATCAATTCAAATGTGGTGAGCGCAGGGCTCTAACCAGCGACCCAACCCAGTGAACTCACAGCGGTAAAAGATAACGTGTTAGCTGCAAGAGCAACCAATGCTATCCATTAATAATTTATACTTTTCATAAATTGTTAGGAGGGCTATGGTTTAAATTTGCATTATTTAGAGTTTATAAATAAGGGCTTTATTATTATTATTGCATATTATTATTATCATTGTTTATTAATTATTAGATAATTATTTTTCATATTTTACAAATATGTCTTTATCTATAAATAAGTAATGTGTACATGTATTTGTTATTTTATATTCATTATCTCTTTATAATTATTAATATTAATATTTGGTTTTTTTTTATTATGATTTTTTATCATTGGTTTTATGTTGTTAAAATCAAATTATTTTTATTATTATTTAAATAATAATAATATTATCATTATTATTATCAAAGTGCAAGTCCTATTGTCACTGAATGCAATGCAAGAATATCACTTGTAATATTTTACAATAAAATCCTTATATATAGAAAAATAGCTGTTTTATTAGTGGTTTGTCTCTTGTGGGGGGATGGGATGGGATGTGGTAAATGTGAATACCTTAATGATCAAGCTCCATCCCATATCCTTATTTTACTGTGAAAAAAATAAATACTTTAATGGGGAAGCCAGATTGAAGACTTTTCCTTGTAACATATGGGTGAATCATTGCAACTTTGTCAAAATTATCTTGGATATGTGGCTTATGTGAAAATACAAAAGGAAACCAATTTTTCTTAATTAAATAGAGCTTGTGAACTCATTTCATTCCATAGACTATCATTTCTTTGYTTCATGGCTGTGAATGAGAAGAAAAATGAATATGGATGTAACTCGAACAAAAAATCTTATTCGCAAGAAGATAATGTTTCCTGAAATGTGAAAACATTACACCCAATTCAAGGCAAAAAATTCTGTTTGTGTTTTACATTTCTTTTGTATTTTCATTTGAGCCTTTTATTCAAAACAATAAAGAAAGGTCTTTTGCGGGAGAAATTTGGTGACATTGTCTAGCATTTAAATCCCTTTAATTTTTTAACTGCAAAGCTATTTTTTAATCCAAAAAATTCTCATTGAGGTTGCATGAAATTATTGCAGACGTAAACAAAGAGATCGGTTATAACTTGTCAAGAAATAACCAATCGGCAATTAGGGGTGTGAGAAAATCAACCAATCAGAGATCGAAGAAGAACAGCTAAATGTTCAGCGGGCTTTAAGAATGGGTTCTTTCAACTGATGGCGATCAGCCTTTATATCAGCTTCTTACGTCTAATAAAAGAAATACTTCTACGAGAAGAATTTATCAGGAGAAGAAAGAAAAGCAAATTGAGTTAATATGTAGGRCCTTTTTGAGGGACTTGGCAATGTAAGGACTTTCCAGGACGAAGAAAACAGACGAACAAGACAAAGACTCAGCTGTGTGAGTGTCAATAGTTGAGGTAAATTCACGTTTAAAACTTCAAGAATTTTATGTCATAGTCTTTAAATTATAGTTTATATCATTGAGATAAAACACGCCAGGGATAATTGTCAAAGTATTTTCTGGCTGTTAAGTTGTTTGAGCCGGACAGATTTAATATTAACTCTGAGCCGGAGAACTCAGATTCTCTCGAAGATTGTACAAAACAACAGCAAACGGTTTTTATTAAATACTATTAATGAACTTTAATTTTCTCAGCCATAAATTCGTTTTTACAATAATTTGGCCCATGACCTCTTCTTTTGTAGTCTATGGTTAATTTTATGCATTTTTTGTTTAGTTAAGAGTTTTTTTTAAAGACGCTTGTTGGTCTTTGCCTAAAGTTGAACTCTGTTCAATTGTTTTAACTTTTGAGAATTTGTTTTTTCACTTCATAAAATTTAACTTTTCCCTTAGACAACAAAGACTTTTCGGATTATATCTTATTATTGTATATTAATAAGTCCTTGGTGAAAATCTAAACACACACACAAAGCGATTTCAAATGACTGAATACGATGTAACGTGTACAAGTGAATGAAATTCGATAACATCATAGCTTTTGATTACTCTGAATCGTCGAGTTTCTACCAGTGAATTGTCTCGATACACACTTGAAGAGTAATGCAGAAAAAAAAAACAAAGTATCCTATAGTTTAATTTCTATCATTTGATTTTTCTTCCATTTAACAAAACTACGTAGAACGCACCAAACGCTTTGATAAACCTGGATCAGTTATAACAAAACATTTTTCTTCATCTTATTATGATAGAGAATATTCGGGATAAATGTTTGAATGATTGCTGTATTAAGTGGAACATGGGAGTCAGGGTGTGGAAATAGGACGGGTCATGATGTAAATAATTGGAGGTTTTCAACCATTYCCAACAGGATCAAAAGACAAAGACATGGATGGCGGCCATGCTGGTGGATAGGTATGACGTAATGATGTACCAGAAGACGTAACATGTACCCCTACCCCTCCACCCCTGCTCGTCTTTCGCCCGCTAACTTTCACTTTTAATTTATATTAAAAGCGCCATTTTGATTTTATTCATTGGAAAATTAAGTAGAAAGCAGTTTTGCAAGTATTATGGTTTGCGTTAGAGATTCTTGTTCTTGAGCATCAGCACCAACACGATGGCAGTGTTAGGAGAAGCACGACGTGTATTGTTGTTCTAAACTCTTAATGCAATATAACATTATAGCAACACAGCAGGAAAGTTTATTTCTTTTAAGAGAAACAAAATTCGTTATTTTCGATAGAAATAAGGCAATTCAACCTAAATAAAGCGTATCATTGAAGGAGGCGTTGGATATTTTTAAAACTCCGTAAACGTTTGCATACGCGGTATTTTGGATCGGATAACATCTATTTTGCGATTTTGTGGTTTCGTCTAGAAGCGCAGCCTCCTTCGCAGCCGTTCTTAGGCCGTCACGCGACGGTTCACTCCAACATTTTTTTTTTTTTGATTCTCAAATTTTCTTTATACTTTAATACTTTAATGGGTATACTCCTAAATCCGCAAGGCTATACTAGGAGTTTATATAAAATAAATGAATAAATATTATTTAATTAAAGATGAGTATATAAACTAAAAATAAATAATGTATGTAATATAATATAAAAATTATAAAAAAGTATATAAAAATATGATAATTAATAAGTATGAATACATACATCTAGAGAAAGATGTTGTTCGATGAATGCGCGCTTGGTAATCGAAAGGCGCTTACAAGGGAATGTATGTAAACATAACAGGGATTTTGACAAATTTTTATTTGCGACTTGATTTCAACTTCAAAACGGAATTATCTTTACTATACTCGATAGGGGAATAATGTTCAACAAGAAATTTCCAGCTGCAATACCGCTACCTAATATTTTTCACATTGCACTTGGGGATAGGTCTGTGGCTAACAATGAGGCGTTGGATTGTCTACATTCCACATCCAAATGTGCCTTCACCTCTTAGTCCATCCTGCACGATATGAGAAAACTAAATACGTGCGCACGTAGCCAGAGCTTTAAAGTTGTCGAAATTTTTTTCCAAGCTCGCAGCTGATGTACAGCCTGACAAATTAAAGATGTTGTTCGATGAATGCACGCTTGGTAATCGAAAGGCTCTTATAAGGGAATGTATTTAAACAAAATATACAAAGCTGTACCCTGTTTACATACACATCTCAATATGATACTACATGATGAAAGTTGAATAAACGTTTCAAATTTAAGGCTCTAATGGACCTACAGGCAGAGAAATTCGAGATTTCGTAGTACAAGTCCTTCCCTGTTCTGCAAACGGCATTTATGAAGAAATTACTGGGTTTTTTACCATTTTTTCCGCTTTACGTTATTCACTTAGCAACACGATTCTCTTTACCGTATTCGTTAGCGGATCGATTTTGGACAAGTGAATTTTAAGTGCGATAGTAAGAAGTTCAGTTTTCAATTATCAACTTGCTAGGCCCTATGTACACAATGGAACAAGAAAGAAGGTAGAGAAGAGGCTAGCAAGTATCCCAAACAACGGCTTTATTCTCTTTTGTTTCTCTGGATATCAACAATCTAGCAATCTGAATAAGATGCTACATGATGAAAGTTGAATAAACTTTTTAATTTATGCCTCTAGTGGATCTACAGGCAGAGAAATAAAGAATTTTGTAGTACAGGTCCTTCCCTGTTGTGGAAACAGTGTTTATAAGAGAAAGTATGGGTAGAATACTGGATTTTTGACTATTTTTCCGCTTGMCGTTATTCACTTAAAAACACAATATTCTTTATCGTATTCGATGGTTGATCGA